TTGGTTTCAGCTCAGGCCACGATCTTGCAATTTTGTGAGTTTGAGCTCCACGTCGGGCGCCGTGCCAAGAGTGTGGAGCCTGCTTGGGATTCTGTCTTCTCCTCTCTCTGCCCCTCTCCCACTCGCGCTGTCTCTGTCTCTTTCTAAATAAGTAAGTAAACTTAAAAAAAAAGTGAAAAATATTATAAAATTAAAAAAAAAGAAATAGGGTCATTACAGATGTCATTAGTTAATATGAAGTCATATTAGAATAGAGCGGGTCCTAATCCAACGGGATTGGTGCCTCACAGAAAGTGGGAATTGGGACAAAGATACGCACACCAGGAGAATGTCATGTGAAGACTGGGGTGGAGCATCTACAAGCCCAAGATTTCCAGCAAGCTTCCAGAAGCTGGAAGAGAGGCCTGGAACAAGTTCCATCCCATGGTCCCCGGGGGGTGTGGGGGGAACAGCTCTGCTGACACTTTGACCTCGGACTTCTAGCCTTGACAACAGTGAGGCAATCAGTTTCTGTTCTTTAAGCCACTGGCTTGATGGTACTTTCTTCCAGTAGCCCTAGCAAATGGTACCCGGCGACTGTTCCCTTTGAGAAAGATGATGTTTGGTAAAGAATACTCATCAAGTTAGCATGTCTCGAGGTAGCCTGATTAGCTATTGTGCTTACAATCCATTTGCCTTTTAAAATTTGATTCAGGAAGACATCCAACGCAGGATGTGTTAGATTTCTGAAAGCTTGCAGTAAAGGTAAGACATGACTAGGGTGATAATGAGAAGCTAGCGGATTCTGGTCAGCACGCCTCAATAAGCAGGTGGCCCTGAGGGGATGGGGGCGCGGAGAGAAGGGCCCCCCCCCATTGGGTGGGGTTCTAGGGCCGGCCATAGCACAGAACAGCAGAGGGGGGCAGGTACCACGGCTTCCCTTGCCTCCCTGGCCTCCTTTCTGGCTGGGCGGGTGTCTCTCCTGGAGAGGTTTTCCTCCACCCGCTCTAACGCCTAACGCGGCCCCTCCAGCTGGTGTCTGAGTCGCAGACCGCAGACCGCTGTGAAGGCTGGGCCAAACCATCTTCAAAGGTAATTGGGCCTCGGCTGGTAGCCTGAGGGTCCGGTATTTTTCCTGGCCGAGAACTTGCTTGCTCTGGAAGCTTCCCGGCAACTCAACCCCTTGGGGACTTCTCTGGAAGATTGAGAGGAGGTGAGATCTCTTCCCTGGGGTCTGTGCTCACACCCTCCAGTTGGAAGCACAGATTTAAGATGCGCTCTTCTGAAGGGAGAGACCCGGAACGGGGCTAAAAATAGCGCAATTTCTTAGGGTTACATGAGGCTTTGTTTACGGGGTATATTAGTTTCCTGCACAAGGAAGCACCACAAGCCGGGGGTGGGGGTGGGGTGCTTCAAACAACAGAAATCTATTCTGGCACAGTCCTGGAGGTGAGACGTCCCCACAAGAATCCTTCCGTCCCTCTTCTGATTCTAGTGGCCACCACCAACCCTCAGTGCTCTTGGTTTGAGCCACATCCCTCCAGGCTCTGTGTCTGCACCCGGCCTCCTTCTCTGTGTGTCTGGGGCTTTGTGTCCAAATCTTTGTCCTCATACAAACACCAGTCGAATTAGATGGAGGGGCCGCACTTGCCCAGGATGACCTCATCTTAACTTGACTGTGTCTGCAAAGACCCTCTTTCCAAAGAAGGTCCCTTTCTGAGGTTCTGGGTGGGAATGAGCTTTGGAGATACTACTGATCTGTTTCGAAGTAAATGTTTTGCTCCGTTAAATGTGCTACATTTGAGAATCCCTTCCTCCACTGCCTTGAACTTGGATAGCCCAGAGGTATTCAGAGGACATTCGTGTTTGAGGATAATCTCTGTGCCTTAGTGGCTTTACATAGCATAAGTTTACTTCTTACTCTAGTGAAGCTAGAGGGAGACTCTGATGAACGGGTGTTGTCCACCCGAGCAGTGACTTGGGGACCCAAGGTCCTTCCACAGGGTTCCAAGGTCTCTGTGCTCATCGGCATCAATGCAGAGGGGACGACCAGGCAGGGCCTTGCTTGGGCAGGTCGATGCGGCCAGGCCTGGAAGTTATCGGGTGCCCTGTCCACGTGCGTTCTGCCCACGTGCATCCCGCTGGCGTGGACCACACTGCAAAGCAAAGGCAGCTGGACAGTGAGGAGGCTGAGGGCCGGAAGAAGAGGAGACGGATGAGAGGAGAGCAGAGCTGGCCAGTCAAGGTGGCAACGACGCCGGGCTTATCCCAGAAGGAATTCTCCTTTCACTTTTTGTCCCCTTACTTCTTCCCTGTGTCTTGCTAAGCACCTGCTGGTCTCCACTCGGACATCCTAGTGTCCCTACACTGTAGTACCGGTCCCTTGGACACCAAGAGACCAACATCAAAGGAGCATCTGCCCTTTAAAAGGTGACTCTGACTGGATAAATCCTAAATCCGCGTTCCTGAGCATGGCCTAAGCGATCTGGATGGCTCAGACTGGCGGGTACCTGTGTGGGGGCCCTGCGGATGGGGCTTCACAAGCTTTCTTCTCGAGACTGGGGCCTGGCAGGAGGGGCTGGTGCTGAGGGAGCTGGGGCCCAGGTAACCCCAAGGGGGTGCTCAGGACCACACCTGGGCAGGGCTGTTCAGAAGACTGAACTCACTCTCTGCCTGACTGGTGGTTTTCAAACTGTCACATGAGGCCAGGTTGAAGCCAGTTTTCTTTCTTTAAAGTGTCTTTACTTTTGAGAGAGAGACAGAGACAGCACGAGTGGGGAGGGGCAGAGAGACACAGAAGACAGAGAATCCCTAGCAGGCTCCAGACCGTCAGTGCAGAACCCGATGCAGAGCTCGAACTCTCAAACGGTGAGATCATGACCAGAGCTGAAACCAACAGTCAGATGCCTAACCTAATGAGCCACCCAAGTGCCCCAGGTTGAAGCCAGTTCTTAAACATAAAATAGAACCACATGGAAAAATACCAGGGCACACAGCACAATTAGAACATAGTAAGAGAAAGTATGTTTCAAGAAACTTGGGTTTCCCTTTTATATATATCTGTTCTGGGTCGTGATTTACATCACATTTCTTACCGAGGGTTGCAATCGAAACCATTTGAAAGCTACTGGAACTTGAAAGTAGGGGATAAAAAGGCACCAGGGAGCTAATAAGGGTGTTCTGGTTTTCACGAATGTTTTGTGCATCCCAACAGGAGAGATGATGTAATGCTAAGGAGGAGCCTGGGCTGGGTTTGGATCCAGGCTGACCCACTTCTCCCCAGGAGGTCCTTGTGAGGGTCACTTCACTCCCCTTGAGCCTCTGTTTTCTGGTCTGGAAAATGGGCTAAATAATTCCCTTGATGATAAGGAGGAGGAGGAGGAAACAGCTACTCACATTTATCGAGTGCTTCCCACCCCAGACCTTGTTCGGCTCATCGTGTATCCTCGTCCACAGTGTTCCTCTGGTGACGTCCCAGTACCATTGGGGGTGTCCGTACAGACAAGGAAGCAGAGGCACAGGAAGGTCAAGTAACTTGCCCCAGTGAATCGGTGCATGTAGATGCCTGATTCAGTGCTTGGCACGTAGTACTGAACAAATGTCAATTTCTTTCCCATAGTTTTGTCTCGAATGTGTTGAAGAATCCTTAAATATAAGCAGATGGTCAAGCTTCTGGAAGGTGCTGGGAGATGCTGGCTAGCAACCTGCCAGAGAAACCGCCTCAAGAGGGCCCTGGAGGGATGCCTGGCTGGCTCAGGTGGAATAGCGTGTGACTCTTGATCTTGGAGTTGTGAGTTCAAGCCTCACGTTGGGTGTGGAGATTACTTAAATACATAAAAGTTGTTAAAAAGTTAAGAATATGATACTTTTTTTTTTTTTTAAAGAGGGCCCTGGAGGTGTGAAGTCAGATTCCCCATGAGAGGGCCCTTGAGACAAGGGGAATTTTCAGCATCAGGGGAACCATGTAAATTGGGAGGAAGGGACCCTCGCCTTTGGCCCTTAGAGGATGCCTCAGCCTTGGCTTCTAGAAAGAAAAGATAATCATGAGCATGCGTGTCAATAAACTGGTGTGTTACAGGTGTTTTTCTTTAAAGTGTATTTATTTTGAGAGAGAGAGAGAGAGAGAGAGAGCAAGTCTTTGAGTGGAGAGGGGCAGAGAGAATCCCAAGTAGGCCCCACGCTATTGGTGGCCAAAGTGGGGCTCGAACCCACAAAACCATGAGATCATGACCTGAGCTAAAATCAAGAGTCAGATGTTTAACCAACTGAGCCACCCAGGTGCCGGATAGTGTATTACAATTTTTAAAGACTAGAAACCCAGGATCCCCCAGCCCTACTCTGTATCCCCAGAATCAACACTGCCTCTAAGAAAAAGCCTGCAATACAAACGCAGCTTCAGAGCCTCCGGGCCGCACCCACCCCCCCCAAGAGAGGGACTGCAGGTGCCCCTGCCCCCTCCCCCCCCCGCCCCGGGGGACAGCAGGGTTGAACTCCCTTTGAGGGCATCAGACAAGTAATTAAACCAAAGTGCAAGACGTAATTACGTCTCTGTTTCACAGAAATTATAAACAGAAAGCAAGGAGAGGATTGCATCACACTGTCCCCGGGGCAGCGGGACTTTTGCTCCGAAAGCACAAGCTGAGCCTGTGGAAGTCAGAAGGGACCTTGGCAAGCATTTCCTTTACAGTCTGGGCTCAGAAAGAGGCCTCCCTGAGTGAGAGATTCAAAGAGGTCCCTCCCTGCCGTGTTCCTGCACCACCTAGTTCCCAAGAGTCTTTTCTCGGTCATCTTAATTGTGTAAGGTCCTGTGCTTTATGTGTAATACAGTTGTTGTCTTAGTTTGAGAGAGAGCGAGAGAGCGAGCAGGGGATGGGCAGAGACAGAGAGAGAGAAAATCCCAAGCAGGCTCTGCCCTGTCAACACGGAGCCCCACATGGGGCTTGAATTCACGAACCGTGAGATCATGACCTGAGCCGAAATCAAGTCAGATGCTTAACTGACTGAGCCACCCAGGCACCCAATGCAGTGTTTTTGTTTTTGCTTTTAATCGAATCCATGACTTGTTTTGGCCTCATCAGCAAAACTCGGTAGTTGATCTTGCACAGTGCCCGGGCCGGGCCGGGCACCAAGTACCTGTGGAATAAAAAGGTGATGGTAGCCATCGTTAACGCACATAAGTAGATAATAACACGACCAATCATGAAATCCGAGCTAACCCGTTGGAGCACTTTCTGTGCCTCCCGTCTTGCCCCTGGGAACATCCCGGGGGGGCGCGCCGTGTCTTGTGAGGGCCGCCCCCCTGCTCCACCTGGAACAGCCTCACCACCGCACGCGGTACGCCCTGGAACCGAGGGCGGGTGGAGGTGAAGGCTGGATCAGGGGAGGGGAAACCACAGAGCCTCCTGCGTGAGCCCTGAGCCTGCACCGGAGGAAGGGAAGTGCAGAGACGCTGGACCCAAGTTCGCACATCCCTCTGCCCCACCCACCCGGAGCAGGGACTTGTTCCCCAGGACCCCACCGCACCTCCCAGTGCTCTGCTCCACCCCAGCGGTAGCAGGACCCCAGGCCCCAGAGGCTGGGGAGGGTCTGGGGCTCAGGGTCCCCAGAAGGGGGGATGGCGGTGGACACCATCGGCAGGGGGGTGGGGGGGTGGTGGACAGGCTCCTCTGGGCAGGTCAGAGGAGCCCAGGCCGGGCTGGGGTCACGGGGAAGCAGGCTGTCCCTGTGCGCTCACATCTGGTGGTAACATCCTAATCCGGGCTGTGACCGTCCCCTCACCCCCAGCCCTGTCTACCCTCCGGGAGAGCAGGAGCCTGGGCAGGAAGGCCTCTTCCACAATCCTGCTCCCAGAGAAACGGCCTTCCTGTGATACAGGAAGCTGGGAGGGTGGTGGCTGTGATGTCACTCACTATTGCCAGCACCTCTGCAAAGCCAGCTCTTCGGGAGCCCCAGGGAGCAGAATCAGAGGGAAGAGTGGGGGCGCCTGGGGGTTCAATCGCTTAAGTGTCCGACTTCGGCTCAGGCCAGAATCTCGAGGTTCGTGAGCTGGAGCCCCCATCGGGCTCCCTGCTGTCATTCCGGAGCCCACTCTGCATCCTCTGTGCCTCCCTCTCTCTCAGCCCCTCCCCTGCTCCCACACACACTCTCTCTCTCAAAATAAATGAACATTAAAAAAAAGAAGAAGAAGAAGAGTGGGGCTCTGGGGCCAAGTAAATACCTGAGAACAGTCCTTTTTTTTTTTTTTATCAGATCCAGAGGTACATTAGGGCGGCTATAACAGTATACCGCAGACTGGGGGCTTCAACAACAGAAGTTAATTCTCTCACAGTTCTGGAGGTTGGAAGTCCAAGATCAAGGTGTTGGGGAGGCTGGTTTCTCCAGAGGCCCTTGCCTTGTGGATGGCTCCTTCTCACTGTGTCCTCACATGGCCTTGGCTCTGGGCACGGGCATCCCTGGGGTCTCTTTGTCTTTCTACAAGAACCCCAGTCATGCTGGGTCAGGGGTCTACCGTCGGGCCTCATTTAATCTCAGTTGTCTCCTTACAGGCCCCATCTCCAAACACAGTCACCTTGTGGGTCACAGCTGCAGAGTATGAATTTCGAAGGGACACAGTTCAGCCCGCAACAAGAAGAAAATGACTTCTAAGTGGCTCCCGAAGGCTTCCAGGCCGTTTTGGCTTTAGGCAAAATGCCCAAACTCTGCAGCCTGATACAGCATGTGATAGAGCCTCAGATGTACAGGAAGCAGGTGCTCGCCATAAATCCTGTGGCCAGCATAAACCATGTGGCACGGCCCAAACGCTCAGACACGCAAAGTTGCTGTTGTCGGGAAGGATTCTCCAGGGGCTCAGAGGTCACGTCCCAGGAGCCAATCAAGGGCCACGCTTGGGGTTTGAGCAACCCATGTCAGCTGAGCTAACCCTTTACGGTATGGCCAGCACGCCTAAGTCCCTCTGGCTGGGACGTTTGGGGACTGCTAATGTCAGTGCCAAGTGCCGTCAGTCTGGTCTGCTTTTGCCAGTATGATTTGAGAGAAAGTATACACTTTTTTTTAAAGTTTATTTATTTGAGAGAGAGAGAGAGAGAGAGAGAGAGAGAAAGCATGACCAGGAGAGGGGCAGAGAGAGGAGACAGGGAGAATCCCAAGCGGGGTCCACTCTCAGCCCAGAGCCCGATGTGGGGCTCAATCCCACGAACCAAGAGATCATGACCTGAGCCAAAGTAGGATGCTTGTCCAACTGAGCCACCCAGGCGCCCTAGAAATTACATGTCTTTATCCTAATTTCCATTTATTTATCTGTGAAGCAGAAAAACTCTGCACACATTTCGTTGCCGTTTGGATTTCTCCTGTATCTTGTCTAGTCATTGAATTTGTTTATTATACATAAACAAAATGTGGGGTCACTGATACTTTTTTCCAATTTATAGGAGCCCGTTCTGCATTGCACATATTAGTTCTTTGTCACAAACTGCAAATGTTTTTCCTTCAACTTTGTCATGTTTTGTGAACCATGATTTTCATGTAGTGGGTCAGCCAGTCTTTTCTTTCATAATTTCAGTCTTCAGTGGTAGGATAGGAAAGACTTCCCTCTCCCCAAACTACACACTCTCCATTATTATTCTCATCCTTTATTTTGAAACATTGAAATACTTAAGCTTTTGGAATGTTTTGCAGTCTATTGTATTAATGTCCTAGGCCTGCTGTAATAAATTACCACAGACTGGGTGGCGTAAAACAACAAAAAGTTTATTCATTCACCGTTCTGGATGCTAGGGTTGGGGGGTCAAAAGGGCTGGGCTTTTTCCAAAGGGTCTAGGGAAGGATCTGTTCGCTGCCTTTCTCCCGGCCTCTGATGTCGCTGACAATCTTTGGCATTCCTTGGCTTGCAAACACAGGCTCCCGTCTCTGCTTCTCATCTGCACCTGCCTCACTGGATCTCTTCTCCTCTTGTTATAAGGATCAGCCATGTTGCATGGGGGCTCACTCCAGTGCTCTCAGCTCCGTTGATCTTGTAGACTCCACCCACATGGCCACCACTGATTGGTCAGAGTTGGACGCCTCACCCTAGCTGGGCCAATCAGAGCCCTTCCTTGGATTTCTGAGCTTGGGTGGGAGCAGTGGATTGCAGTTGTCTGTGGGTGGTGAACACCCAGGGTCCTGGCTGGTGGAAGAGCCTGACTGGGGGTAGGAGAAAGTGAACAGACACCAAGATAATCCCTGGCGAGAGTTTCTGAGGCCCAGCTACACCCTATGTCCTTTTTGGACGATATGGACCTTCTGTCGGGTTCCAGCCGAAACCTCTCACGAATACAAAGACAGCGTTTCATGTTCTCTGCGTCTCCAACGGGTGCTGGACGGTGGGGCACACACTACACCTCACACGAGGGAGTGAATGACAGAGGAAAGTTTTAGGGACACGTTGTCAACATCACAGCTTTTGCCATTGCTGCCTTTCGATCCCCATTTACAAACCTGGCAAATCAGCGCCGTGTCACGATTTCTTCCTTGTGGGTCATTTCAAACATGTTGAGCAACGTTCATTTTACCCAGCACCTTCAAGTCGCTGTCCAGGTGATTTGCCAAAAACAGTCTGCTGGCCTAATGAAATCAGAACAGCCAGTGGCTTCCATCCTGAACTCGGGGATTAAAGAGGAAAAGCCGCCGTAAGCAGGACACCCGGGTTAGCACAGCTGTGCAGGCGTGCAGTGAGCAGATTGCGGGGCTCAGCACGACGGCCCAAGTCAGGAGGAGTCAGCAAGGACACAACCCAAATGGCAAAACTCGGTCAATAAAAATAAATGAAGGAGGTCTAGGTCTTCCTTCTCAAACAGCTCATCTTAAAAGAGGTAAATAATTCAAGACAATGAATTGGTTGGACACGTTATTTCTACTTGATGCCCACGGCTGCACGAGGGACAGAAATAGGACACTGGCGTATGTTTTGGCAAAATGAGACTCTCTTGTTTGCTTGTTTAAGACAAAACCGTGTTTTTCTTTTTTTGATTATACAACATACAAGCCCATTTATAGGAATTTTGCAAAGTATCGGAAAATACGGTGCCCAAGGCTGGGTCGTGTGAGGAGGGTGAGGGCCGAAGTGGGTGGGTGGTCAGGCGTGGCTTTCGGGTGGCTCTCCCTGGGAGGCCTGAGGGCCTCTGGGGGCCACCGGGGGGCCTGGCTGGGTGGTCAGCTGCAGGGAAGGAACACAGCCGGGGCAGAGAGAGCCTCACGCAAAAGCCTGGCGTTTGACTTCTCTGCTGTTGAAGCTACAAAGGAAACCTCCCTGAGTCTGCACAGCAAGACACCCTCTCCCCTGCCCCCCTCTCCCGTGAGAGCAGGTGTCCACATCTGGGTGGTGGACAGGGTCCAGTGAAGTCTTTCCAGGGTTTGGAGGGAGTCTGGGCAGCACCCAAGGTGACCGTGGCCTCGGTGGAGAGATTTGAGGGGTCACTCTAGACTATCACCCAGCTTTGAGCACATTGAGGCTCTGACCTTGACTCCAGCAGCAGCAGGCCTTGGGGTCCCAGGCTCTGGTGGCCCTGGAGGGCAGTGGCAGTCCAGAGGTGGTTCTCTGGGGGCAGAGGCAGTGGCTCGGGTCCTGGGCACACCAGAACCCTTGGCCACCCTACTTTGCAAACAGATGGAAATTTCCATGAGCAGGGCCCTAGCGCCTGTTAATTGTCATCTCTTCCGTATCCCTACTCGGACACAATGCCTAACACAGAGTATGCTTCCAATAAACATTTGCTGAATGGTAATTATTATTACTGGAGATTCTCAGTAAATATTTGCTGAATAAATGTCCCCCTGCCAGCAAATGAATTGTTTTCCATATTATATTAACAAAAAAAAAAAAAAAATGGGACACACTGGACTTACAGATCTGTTCTGAAAAGGAATAGAGATTTTTTTGTGTAAGTAGAAAGTGCCAAGCGGGATAAGTTTAGCAGGATAAATCCTCTGAAACGGATCAGCCAATGGCCTCCAGGGGGTTGGTGGTGGTTTCTTGAATCAGTCTGTAAGTGGAGATTATGGATTTGCGGCTCCTCTCAGATATGTGGAGCCGAAGCAGGAAAGACAGCTGTCAAACAAGTGCGACCGTCAGTAAGAGGAAGCACTTACGTGGCACCGTCACCTACCACAGCCATCTCACAAACTTGCCCTCGGGTGGGATGCGTGAGACCTTAGCTGGCCTGGAGACGTGACGTGATTTTGCCAAGGACATGCACAAGGTAGAGGTTGGAAACCAGGCCGCGTGTGTGTTTTGCTGCCTTCTTCTCCTATTTCACGTTGACCAGGGCCATGGCGATGACGTCCGGCGGCCAGTAAAGGGTTTCCTGAGGCTGAGCTGTGTAGACGCATCTGTAACTGTAGGCTGAGGACCATTTAGAAAAGGTGAAAACGTGAGGAAGGAGCCGGCGCCGTTACTTACGTAATCCTTGAATGTTTCCAAGGAAACCTGGAGCCACGACTGACCCTGCTTGGCCAGCCCTTGGGAATGGGGGTCTCAGAAAGTTTTTATGTCAGTGATGGATGATCTTGTTGTGTACACCGGGAGCCACGGACCGGCTTGTTGGGGTGGCTTTGCGAGAACATTAAGATCGATGAGATACGCCTGGCTTCCTGCTTGGAGTCCTGGTTTCAGTTGCCGTGGCTGATTGATAGCAGGATAAGTCTATCTGACAAACACCCCATAAACACCTTGGAGCCTGAGACCTGCATGGGTTTCCCCGGACGCAAGACTTCACACATGACCCTGTAGTTCTCTGGCAGAGAAAAGCCCGTCCCGACTGGGCTCGGGTGAGGAGGCACAGGGGGGAGCTGGACTTCTCTGGGCTCCCTTAATGTGTATCCACCTTCTCTCTCTGCGTCCTTTTCTGCAGCAAATCTTAGCTGAGCACCACTCACTATGGAGTCTTTTCAGTCTTTCTAGCAAGTCACCAAATGTAGGGAGATGTCAAGCCCAGCTCCTTTTTATTCGGCAGGGTTCCACCCAACCTTGGAAGCCCAGCTAGCCACACACCCGACCCCCTGCGGTTTTGAACGTGGGCTGTGAGAACCGAGGGTGGGAGAAGTTACAGGCAAACCGGGGGCTGCAGTCATTATTCCCTTGAAGGGGCTCCTCTTCCAGAAGCTCACAGCTCCAGGGTCCACCCACCTGGAAAAATACGGCAGGGAAGGGGGATGTCTGGGCAGAAGGGGGTAGGGAGGGTGAAGGTCCCTGGAGAGCAAATTTCAGGGTTGATTGCTTTTTGGAATTCTGAGATTTGTAGACTCCAGTTAATATACATGACTGGCGTCAAAGCCGTGAGGGCTTCCCTAGACCTCTGTTACTTATTACTGGCTCAACCAGGCAAGTGCTTTGGGTCAAAGTATCCTCCAGTCTTGCAAATTCTCCTCCATGTGTGCATATCTCTGTCTCACAGTCCAGAAGCACATTGCAAATTCATTCTTTCCCTTTTTATCTATCTATCCATCCATCCATCCATCTATCCATCCATCTATCTATCTGTGTATTTATCTTGAAGATTTTTATATGTATAAACTGATGAGCACAATCATAGACACAAATACAAATTAAACAGTTAAAAAATAAGATAACTGAATAATTATACATAGACTTGCTATTGAAAGAAAGTCCCAGCATTTATTTTGCATCAAAACTTAAGGGCTAATTCCGAATAGCCCAATCTTGAAAAAAAAGGGCAAAGTAGGAAGGCTCACACCTCCCTCTTCCAAATTTTTTTTTAATGTTTATTTATTTCTGAGACAGAGAGAGACAGAGCATAAGTAGGGGAGGGGCAGAAAGAGAGGGAGACACAGAATCAGAAGCAGGCTGACACGGGGCTCGAACTCACAGACCGCGAGATCATGACCCGGGCTGAAGTCAGACGCTTAACCGACTAAGCCACCCAGGTGTCACACTTCCCTCTTTCAAAACATCCAGCAAAACAGTAGTAATTGAGACAGTGTGGTACTTGTACA